TATATGACTTATACGACTTGTTTATTTTAATGTATATAAATTATGCCTTAACATAAATAAATACAAAAGTAAAACAAGTTTAATTGTAAGTCTGAGAATCAACTCAGTGCTATAGGGAACAGGACTTTTCCAGTGTTTCACTAAAGAGCTGTGCATCGTGGTGCACACCTGTAATCCCACTACTCTGGGAGGCAGAGAAGGATCGCGAGTTTGAGCCCAGCTTGTACAACTCAGAAACTTAGTGAGGCCCTGTCTCACTAAGAAAAAAACAAAGAGCTAAACATCTAACTCAGTATCCTGAGTTCAATCCCTAGTACTGTAAAAACAAACAAAAGCATTAGGATGTAATGAAACACATTAGCACATCAATAAAAGGCTTCAAGAAGTGAGCTTGTTTTTTCCCTTAAAATGACAAGAAAGGGGCCAGGGAGATAGCTCAGGGGTCTAAAGTGCCTGCTTAGGCAAAGCACAGGGACCTCGGTTCCATCCCCGGCACCACATGCTGCACCAGGTCCACTCCCAGGGCAGGCTGAGCTGGCCACAAAAAAATAAGTAAATAAATGACAAGGAAGGGCTGGGGAGATAGTTCAGTGGTCTAAGCACCTGACTGGCAAATGCAAAGGACCTTGTTTCGATCCCTGGTACCACATGCTGTGCTGTGCCAGACTTGGAATACAGGCAGATGCGTGCCTATAATCTGAACACTGGGGAGGCTGAGATAGGAGGGGCAGTACAAGTCTGAGCTGTGTAGTAAGATCCTACACCAAATAAATGTTTGTAAAATGACAAGGAACAAACTTCAGCATGTATACTAAAAACAAAGATGCACAGCCTAAGGATGGCACAGCAATTAAAGAAAAAAAGGTAGACAGTAAAGCTGTTCAAAGATTCACCAATGAAAAACTACACCAAATACTATATCGTATTCATAATTTCTATATTCTCTAGCATCCAATCAGCTGTGTCTCTGATGAAAAGAAATATCCAAAATAAAAACTCTGGTTGTAATTAAGATCTGCTTTCATATCTATTATATCATCAAGGTTTTTAATCTAAAATTCAGATAGAAGCCTGGTAGGGTGACTGGCACATTCCTATAATCCCAGCACTTGGGAGGCTGAAGCAGGAGGACTGCCACAAATTTGAGGCCAGCATGGACTACACAGTCAGTTCAAGGCCATCCTGGACTACATAGTAAGACCTTGTCTCAAACAAAACAAAAAAAAAAGGAAGATGTAAACAAACAGAATTCATCAATATGTAAAAAGGACAATGTACCACGATTAGGTAGAAGTTATCCAGAAATGTAAAGCTGATTCAACACCGGCAAATCAATCTGTATAATTCATCATATCAACATAAAATAAGAAGCAATAGCAGTCACCACCACCAGTCTAATTTTGTTAACACATATGTGCTTCAACAAAGCACAGATCCATGTATTATCAATCTAGTAATATTCTAATATCACTGGATTAACACTTTGGCCTTGTAGGCCTTATTTCTATTCTTTTTGAGAAAGTGTCTCACTGTGTAGTGAGGCTGACCTTGAACTTGCTTGTGTGTAGCCCAAGCTGGCCTCGGGCACTCCTCCTGTCTCAACCTCCCAAGTGCTGGGAATACAGGTATATGCCTCCATACCCAAACTTACTTCTATTTTATTTATTTATTTATTTATTTATTTATTTATTTATTTATTGTCTTTTTAAGAAAAGGTCTTGTCATGCAGTCAGCAATCGGGCTGGCCTTGAACTCACTTTGTAGTCCAGCATAGCCTCAACTTGCAGCAATCCTCTTGCCTCAGCCTACCAAGTGCTAGGATTACAGGTATAGGCCATCATACCTGGATCTTTATTTCTACTCTTGAAAGAAAGAATTTAGGATATCCCTTAGCTCTTAACTTTACCTTAGACAAATAATTTATTGAGTATCAAACTCAGTTCGTGACACTGGTCTGGATTCTAACAATACAGAAGTAAAACCAAGCAAACAAAAATTCCTTTCTTCATGGAGTTAATGGCTTAGTCCAATTATGGATAGACAATTTTAACTAAAATCCCCGTTTTTAAATGTATTTAGTACAGGGTCTACAGGGTCTCACTGCACAGATCAGACTCAGTGATGCTCCTGTTTTTCAGCTTCCCCAGCTCTTGACTCAGCATACCCTGGGAGTGGGGGTGGCACAGCACACCAGGAATCGAAACACTGTCCCTATGTCTGCCTAAGCAGGTACTTTAATCCACTGAGCTATCTGGGCGGCCCAAAGCTTAGATTTTCTTTCTTTTTCTTTTCTTTTGATATCGGGAATCAAACTCAGGACTTTGCATTTGCCAGGCAAGGGCTTACACCACTGAGCTATTTTATCTCCCTGGCCCTAACTAAAATTCCGAACTGCTCATTTCTTGATTTTTTTTTCTCTTAAATTCTGTAGTTTCCTTCAGGTTCCTCTACATATAGTCCTTTAGGTTCCCAATTAATTACCATGTCTTTGGAAAGGCTGAAGTCTTTAAGAGAAAGCTTTCCCCTCTCAATCTGTTCATGAAAAAGCATTCATTACAAATAATACCAACCTCATCAGATTAGCTGGTATACTGACACAGTGCTCATACTGTAGCAATTAGAAGCATTTTATAGTTCACCTTTCCAGCACCAAAGCCAAGCCTTTATATGTAAGTAAGCCATTTTCCTGGACAAATCTCTAAAGCAAGTCCCTGAAGACCATCACAGAGTAACTGGAAATAACAACTGGAACGAGCCTCTTGAAGAATAATGCATTAATATAAGTTAAGGAGGTATGTGGACTAACTTTTCACACAGTCAACACAAGTGGTTCTGGTCCTTAGATGACAATGTTTATTTCATTCTAACTTTGGAAGCCTTCATCAGGTTACTGGACTAAAACAGAAGCACCTAAAACAGCCTTCGGAATGAAAATCTGCTCTCCTACTAACTGGTACATTTTGTGTCTTCCTACAAGGTGAAAAAGGAATGTAAGGGCTGGTGAGATAGCTCAGCGGACTAAGTGCCTCCTTAAGCAAGCAATAGAGACTGAGGTTTGATCTCTGGTACCACATGCCATGCCAGCCCTGCCCCCGGGCATGCTGACCAGCCACGAAGACCTGGCATGGTAGCACAGGCCTGTAACCCCAGCACTGGGCAGGCTGAAAACAGGAAGATCACTATGAGTCGGAGCTGTGCAGTGAGACTCTGTACCAAATACATTTTTAAAAATGTAGTAAAAGGCTGGCACTAACAGCTGTGTGAGAATTGGAAGGAGCATTTTAGCCACTTGAAGCTTCTATTCTGTACTAGAATTAGTTCTCCAGCATCCCTGACTCATGGTCAATGATCTATGTCCCTGGTTCAAATAAGATCAATGACCTCGTAAGGCTATCTAGCCTACTGGAAGACAATTCTGGTAAGATCTCTGGGGTTTTTTGCATTTTGTTTGTTTATGTATTTGATAAAGATCTTTTAATGAACTTAAATGCTTCATGTAACACTCATTAAACATTATTCTGACCACTGCAGTACCTTAGATTAAGTCTTGTGCTCTTTTTTTTTTTATTTGTCCATGAAATACTGTGAAGAATCATTGTGTCGAGGTGGTTGCCTTAGTGGAGCCCTCTGGTTGTGTGTCCGAGGTGCTGCCGCTGCAGTCGCGGACGGTTTGCTGAGCCCGTTAGTGCTCCGCATCGAGACTGACGCCGCCGTCATGTCCCGCTACCTGCGCCCCCCTAACACGTCTCTGTTCGTCAGGAATGTGGCCGACGACACTAGGTCTGAAGATTTACGGCGTGAATTTGGCCGCTATGGTCCAATAGTTGATGTCTATGTTCCACTTGATTTCTACACGCGACGTCCAAGAGGATTTGCTTATGTTCAATTTGAGGATGTTCGTGATGCTGAAGATGCTTTACATAATTTGGACAGAAAATGGATTTGTGGACGTCAGATTGAAATACAGTTTGCACAGGGGGATCGGAAGACACCAAATCAAATGAAAGCCAAGGAAGGAAGGAATGTGTACAGTTCTTCACATTACGATGATTATGACAGATATAGACGTTCTAGGAGCCGGAGCTATGAAAGGAGGCGATCAAGAAGTCGGTCTTTCAATTACAACTATAGAAGATCTTATAGTCCTAGAAACAGTAGACCGACTGGAAGACCACGACGTAGCAGAAGCCATTCCGACAATGATAGATTCAAACACCAAAATCGATCTTTTTCAAGATCTAAATCCAATTCAAGATCATGGTCCAAGTCCCAGTCCAAGAAAGAAATGAAGCCTAAATCACGTTCTAGGTCTGCATCTCACACCAAAACTAGAGGCACCTCTAAAACAGATTCCAAAACACATTATAAGTCTGGCTCAAGATATGAAAAGGAATCAAGGAAAAAAGAACCACCTAGATCCAAATCTCAGTCAAGATCACAGTCTAGGTCTAGGTCAAAATCTAGATCAAGGTCTTGGACTAGTCCTAAGTCCAGTGGCCACTGATAGTATAAACCATGATAATTTTTAGGCATGTATCATTCATTTACTCATAGTTTGGTACACTTAAATTATCAGGATTACAATGTTGCAATGATGCATAAAAAACATTTGTTAGTTTCCCTGTACCAGGCAATGGTTATAATTAAAATGATATGCTGTTCAGAAGACACTTTTAAGAGTCCAGTTTGTTTAATGTTATGGGCAGCTACCAATATGTGGTGTCTCTGTATATTTTTGTAAAGATTCTCATTTTTTATGCTTGAAGTATTTGGTGAAAAGATGTTGGTTGACCATAATTTGCAACATTGTCTTATTAAACTTTCATACCCATATTCGGTAGAACTGTTAACCTAGAAA